ATCTACTGAGGGTGACCCCCTCCCTCCAAATCAGTGAACTCTACTGAGGGTGACCCCCTCCCTCCAAATCAGTGAAATCTACTGAGGGTGACCCCCTCCCTCCAAATCAGTGAACTCTACTGAGGGTGACCCCCCACTCCCAGTTGGCAAAACAAGAGTTTTGAGTCTCTGTCATTGTTACTTTTTGGGGGGCTGTGGGCTGGGAACACATGATATAGCATACAGTACAATTACTCTAAAATAAAAATGAGGTCATCACTACATTGCATCAGAGAGAAGCTTAGGGAAAATAAAAATTAGATTCCTACATCACCAAGATCCTACTTTGATGCAATATACAAGCTGCTTTGCCTCAAATTTCTCAAGAATTTCTCCAGCAAGTTGGGTCTAAAAGTCTGAGCTCTGCAGGAGACATCATTGCTGACCCCCCTTAAGGTTACTCAGATAAGTAAAGAAATGAGATCATCAGAAGACCACTAAAAGACCTCACTTTTTCTTTTTGCCACCTTTATAGTATATCTTTGTACACATTCCCTGCTCTTTGACGTTCGTTGTCACTGATTTACTCATATTTAAGCTGTTAATTTTTCACAACAGAAACATTATGATGAATTCTTCAAACAACAAATGACAGTGTATGCAGTGTTTCTCCCTTAAAGTGAAAATCCAGCTTTTACGATGATTACATGTTCAGAAGGAGAGCAGAGGTGCTGTGTCACTCTAATAGGGAGACATTCACACTGCGAGAGCCCCCTTCCCCCCACCAATCAGGAAACACTCATTTCACTAAGTAACTTCACCCGACTCGTTATCCTTACTTTTACATATAATCATAAGTCAGGGCGTTAAGATCTTCTCCGATTTTGATTAAAATATGTTTGCAGATGGGTAGCAACAGGACATTTGAGGGCATGTCATTCATGATTTTCTTTCTGAGTGACTGTGAATGATATTCCACAGCAAAGGAAGGTTTGTGAGGCACCTCAGTCAGGTTAACTAACTGCAAGAGGAATTTGGGTAATGCTTTACGTTAACTGCACTTACATAACGCATTCATTATACATTCATAAGAGGCATGTAAGTAAACCATAACACCCTAACATACCGCAACAGCTTTAATATATATTATAACACATATTACAATGTTTGTTATTAATGTATACTAAGGCCATGAAGGTATGTCAGGATGTTATGGTATACTTACATGCTACTTAAAAATAGTTATGAATGCATGATGAATGTGCACTGAATTTTCTATGAATGCATTAAGGTGCAGTTAATGTAAGATGTTACTGGAATCCGGAGCAGTAGGAGGAAACCCCCTGGGGGTGGGACTTGGACACACAGCCAAGGGGCTGCGAGGCCCCTGTGTCCCCCACTGAGCTCCCCCCATATGAAAAACAGCCGGCCTGTGTACATGGAAGAATAAAAGAAAATAACATTAAAAAAAAACCTACAAACACTATAATGTTTATTTAAAATGCTGCAGTATGCACTTTCACACATCATTTATATGCAAATGTCACTCACTTTGTCATAATTTCTGTTTTTAATGACTGCCTCTCTCTAATTGTACTTTTAAGATGTGTTATGAAGAAGGGTTTTAGAGGAATGTGGAATGTGTGCGTTTCTTTTAAAAAGCTCATATCGTAATCTCCTGCAGAGCCAGAGAAGTGGAAGCCCAACATGGGAGTATTTTTAGCTAAGGACTAAAGCACCACAACAACACACTGTAATTACTCCACTGCAAAATCCAGTGGCCAACAAAAACACAGTCTGTGACATTTTAATGCCCCTATTGGTTAATTTTCACAAGAGGATTAACCACAAGGCGAAGAAGAAGGACACAAATCCTAAAAAAATGAACAACTTCTAAAGCTCTTTATATAGTATGCTGTGTGCAAATAAAACACACACAGACATTATCCATTTATAGACCCATTACAAAGGCCGACCAGAAATTCAAGTTCAAAACCTGGACATTTGTGTAACGTGTGTATGTGTCAGGAAATTATCTGAGTCATGCATGTATGTGTCAGGAAATTATCTGTAGGCATGTGTGTATGCGCCAGAAATAAATCAGGGGACCGTAAATAAACCCACACGCTTCTACTGTACATGAAATCACTATTTATTTTGTGAAATTGATTTTTATACTTCGTGAACATTTCTGATGTTCCTTTAAACATTTCTCTTCATTTAAGGGTGCGTAAAGATTCATTTGTGTGCTGAACATTGTTTCTTGTCAGATGGAAACACCTTAAAGCCATGTCCACACAGCCCAGGACTGCAAATGACCAGTTTTTCCCTTGTGTGATTAGTGGTTTGATGTGTGTGTGGTCTGAGCTGAGTTTGATGCACATTAAAACTTTTTGTAGATCGCTTGGATGTTAAAACCAGGATATTTATATTTATTGTTGTATTTCAGGTATTTCTTGAGACAGCCTGAAATTAAGACTGTCCCAGTCAAACCAGGAGATCTAGTCACTCTACCCTGATCTCTATGAGTATTATGAGTATTATATACACTTATCATCTCAAGTATTAAGGTGAAGCTGCTGTAAGGCCTGAGTGACTGATAATCAAACTCAGAAAATCACGACACTTTAGATCGGTCACAAACCAGGAGGGAGGGCCAGGTAACAATTCCTGCACGTTTCATTATTATCTCAATTCTAGTACTTGATATTGAAATCTTTTAATCAATTTTGTTCGCATTTACGAGGGACCTTTCTATCTGCTGTAGTTTCTCTAAACAAACTAAATAAAGATCAAACATTTGTGTGAAGTCATTTTATCACTGGAATGTGCTGAGTGCTACCGATTATCCTTGTAAGTATTTACACATTGGGCTGCTCTGCATGACAAGGTCATTTTGTCATTGATATTTAAAGGACAAATATTGTGTGCAAAGAGGCAAAGTCCATACTTCATACTTTTGTTTTGTTTGTTGTTGATTCTTAAGAGACATTTATTACATTTCACCACAGAAATTCGCTCTAAGACAGTATCTAATTTGTAATGTAATTCCTACTGGAACTGGAGAAAGCTTATAGTGTTTCGTTGGACGTGTACAATAACAATAAATATGGTGTACTGTATTGTATTCTGTTCTATTCTAATCTTAAAATAAACATTGTCTTTTTTACATGAAAACAAATACTATAATTCTAATGACTCCATATTTTATAAACCGGTATTATTACATAAAACATATAGCTCTCTACTTATGTATTCAAAACAAAATAAACAGGTCCTATTCTTTTCAAAGATCACTAAATGTAATAACTATTGTACAAAGATACTGAAGATCCGATGCATATTATAGTTTGATTACATTGCTTCTGTAATTTTTTGTATTTTTTGTATTGTTAACATTGCAGTGCCTTTGCACACGCGCTGGACCCGACGCCCACGTGGCCGTGCAGGTGCCGCCGATCGCCACTTCTCGCGATATTTAGCGGGCTTCTCGCGTATTAGTAGTCAGCTGACGCGCACTTTACCTCAGTTCGCGCTTCCGGTCCATGATGGCGGCACCCATGGCATCTCGGGCGGTCTTGAGGGGACTGCGTGGAGCCAGTGGCAGGCACTTGTTTCTGGATAAGAGCAAGGTACAGACTGCTGTCAGACGTGTCGCCTTACTCGTATACATAACCGTAATCGGTTTTTGTACGGCGGACAGCTGTATGCTGTTTGTCATGAATGACTGCCTGCTTTATTCACTTACTTGATCTAAATTCCAGCTGCACCTTTCACAATATACAGTATACTCCAGGGCGCATAATATTCAGTCAAACTTAATGCATTCTTTTGCGAACCATAATCTTTTACAATTGTTCTTTCTGTATGTATTGCTAGATGCGCATTGACAATAAAGTGCTTGAACCTAGGTTGTTGTGCCTACACTCACACTGTATTATACCTAATATACTTCGTCGATTTTTCAGCACAAACTAAAACTTTTTGTGACTTGTTAAAACGCTTCAGTTACCTTTAAGCTTAATTTACCTTGCCGTTTAATATATTTTTTAAACTCTACAACAGAACTTGCCTTCCATGAAGTTATAGGTTAAAGTCTACCCAGCTGGGCACGTTGAAAGGTAAAAGTTCACCAGTCACTGTTAAGGCGGCGATAGTTTAATGATTAGTTCCATTGATTGACCTTTATACTTAAAAACTGCATCCCGATACGCCTCTCTCCCCTGCTTTTTCAAACATCGGACTCGGGTCATGCGGTACAAGACCCAAAACCACATCCCAGCGTTTTGTTTGCACACAACATGTAAAGTCCTGTTGGCATTTGTGTTACTTCTCCCAGACAGTCAATAGAAAGTGTACTATACTGTAGGTAACTTAACACAGAGGCTGAATGTTAACAGCAACAAAAAATGGATTTTGCAGTATTTTGTAATTTTGTGATGCTGCAGGACAAAAAAAATCCCCTAGAAGACAAATGCATTTTATCCTTTTACACCTTTAAGTTTGGCTTTGTGTTTGTGTGTAAATATATATGTGCATATAAAATTCCCCACCCCCAACTGGTCAGTGGTTAAGAGGTACATTCAGCGCCATGGTGTGAATCGGCTCTGTGCTCCTGCTTGGGGGGTTCGCTGCTCTGTGTGTCAGGGTCTTCTCAGTGTGTGGAACTGATGACTGACACACTAATGAGCAGGGATTGGACCCCACATGTATATATGAAATTGCTCATATTATAGTTTGATTACATTGCTTCTTGTATTGTTAACATTGCAGTACCTTTGCACACGCGCTGGACCGACGCCCACGTGGTTTTGGTACAGGTGGGGATGGGGTGGGTGTGGTTTTGGTACAGGTGGGGACGGGGTGGGTGTGGTTTTGGTACAGGTGGGGACGGGGTGGGTGTGGTTTTGGTACAGGCGGTGACAGGGTGGGTGTGGATTTGGTACATGCGGGGACGGGGTGGGGGTGGTTTTGGTAGATAACCAGAGGATGGATAACATCTTCATGCAGCTCT